GAATATGAAGATAAAAAGGACACTGTCCCCACTTTCCGTGGGCTCCTGTGAGAGGGACAGTACAGACAAGGGGACAGATCACTTCACCCTAGCTCGCCCCTCTGGCTGTGCTTCTGTCCGTGGCTGGAGGGGCTGCCCCCTGTCTCCCCAAAAGCAGATCTGTGTGCTCTAGTCGAGAGGCAGGGGTGGGTGGGGGTAGCTGCTATAGCTCCCCTGGGGCCAGCCCAGTGACAATGCTTAATAATTCGTACAGTTATCACGATAACGACTTGCTCCTCAAAGGTTGAGAGCACACTGCCTAAAACACGGAGGCACAGTCCATCCCCTCCAGGCTTCACACGGTGCAACGTGAGCCCCTCACTGCCTGCCAGCACTGGGGCAGAAAACACACAATGGAAAAAACCCAGTCTCTCCTCTTCAGTTACTTGGTGCCACCAAGTGGTCAGTGTAATTCCTACTCCTTTAAAAGCAGGCAAGAAGGCTGCAGAGGACGGAGGACAGGGGTCAGTACAGCGTTATCGGGATGCTCGAAGCCCGGGACCCTATCTTGGCGTGGTCTGTTCCCCAATCCTTAGGGATATTATGCTTTCTGAAGAGTTTTATCCTCAAATTAAGGGGCCAATGTTGTTTAAAAGAAATTATAAAAGCTGGCATAGCAAAAAATCTGTTCCTTTTCCTTTTAGTCAAAGAAATAACTGCTGGAATAACTGCAGCATATGTACTGTAATTATACTTTGATGAAATACAAGTTACGAAATGAGGATTTCCTCACTAGACCTCTGAAATATTCGCACCCGTTGGGTCTGTTCTTCCTAACGACATTTTGGGATGATTTTTCTAAGACTGAACAGCAAGAAGACTTTTTTCCTCCTCTGTCTAGTGAAAGTGCTCTTATTGGATTACCCAACGCTCAAGCCTAGAGAAATGTCTTTTTCCAGTATAGTATCTGGGTCCTCAAAAGAGTTTTAAGTCGAATTAAACCCGGGTCTATACCCGCGCCCTGCCACTTTCAGCTGTAGGATGTTGGGCAATTTGCAAACTTTCTCTAAGGCTTACTTTGCTCATTGATAAAACGGTATATAGCACCTCCTCTCCCACAGCTGCTGTGAACTTTTAATATATGCGGCACCTGGCACACAGCAGGTACCTAGTCATGTTTTTTCCCACCTTTCTTCAACCTATGTTTGAAAAGACAGAAAATACAACTTGTGTGGAAGAACCTCTGGTGGGATTATTTAGGAAGAAAAAAGGCTCAGATACGCAGCAAGTTACCAAGATAATACAATAGAGTGTTTGGGTCTTCCTGTGCCCAGACACCCCCCTTCTCATTGGGGCACACAAGCCTGGGGGGGGGGCGTAAACAACACTTACTCAAGCTCATCTTCAGAGTCGTAGCCCACAACGGGCTCTGCCTCGATGGCAAGGACCTCACTCTTTGCCTGACTTTGTTTCCAGTTGCTACTTCCTGTGCACGAAGGAGATTCCTTTCTCTTCTTCTTTCCAAAGAACTTCTTAAATGTTTTGAATTTGGATTTTTTCTTTCCTACACAGATTTAAAAACAACAAAAAATAAATAAGCAAGAGTCTGTCTTTGCACATGTGGTAGATGTGTCTATGAAGGAGAGAAAGCAGGATTTTTGTCCAGGCTTTAAGTCATTTGCTTCTGAAAAGACAGAAAGTACACGGCATACCTGTTGTGCACATCTGAAAACAAATCATGATTTCTGTTTCTTTAGGATATTTAAATAAATGAGCCAAGAACGCTTTGGACCATGATCACAGAATCAAAACAAGCAACTTTCTTCTCACATGAAATCAAGTTTTAATTTCTGAAATATACATAGTCAACAACAAAAGTCTTGATGAGGTAAAGGCTGTGTGATAACCCAAACTATTTTAAAAATAATTCTCAAGTGCTTTGTTTAGTGTGGACATGGCACCAAGGACAATCAAAGCAGACCTAGCCTCATGGGCAAGAGGAGACTCACTGGAGCGCCAAACAGCACGAAAAGCTAACAAGTCTTGGGGAGAAAAATTACCAAATGGTGGTTATCCCCATGAGGGGTGTGGCCAGGCTGAGCCTGACTCTGCCCTGCTTCCTGGATTGCTAGAATTTATAACACCTTTTAACATTTTGTGATTGCTTCTCTGATATCTATTTCATTTTCACCTCCAAATTCTATCATATCCAGGATCCTATGTGCATTAGTCCATTTCTGTTGCTTATAACATAAATACCAGAAACTGGGTAATTTGTAAGAAAATGAAATTTATTGCTTACAGTTTTGGAGGCTGGGAAGTCCAAAGTCCAGGGAACACATCTCATGAAGGCCTTGGTGGTGACTATAATGCGGGGTCTCACATGTCAAAATGGCAGAGCAGAGAGAGAGACTCTCATGTGCTCTCCTTTTAAAGCTCTCAGAACCACGCCCATGAACTGGGGCATGGTCCTTACAATCTAATCACCTCTTCAAAGGCCCACCTTTCAACTACCATAATAGGATTTCCCACCCTCAACAGTTACAGTGGGAATTAAGCTTCAGTGAGGTTGGGGGGGGGGCATTTGATCTATAGCATCGTGATTTCACGTTAACAGTTCAATAAAGATCATTCTTTTCCTTTGGAATATTTATGCAAACTGACCACAGAAGGATGCAACATCATAGATTACCAGGATGCTGTCTAATACATCCTGATAATTTGCTAAAACAATGTATAATTATCAGTTTTACAAGTAAATAATTTAATAAACTAAATTCCTTAAAAAAAAAAAAGCAGGATTTTGGGGGCTGTCCAGTTAGCTCATTTGGTTAGACTGTAGCCTTATAACACCAAGGTCATGAATTCGGA